ATAATACGTACTGTAGTGTGTGTGTGTGTGTGTGTGTGTGTGTGTGTGTGTGTGTGTGTGTGTGTGTGTGTGTTTTCTAGACCTTACTGAAAATAATTAAGAGCGATTCTTTCATTTCTGCTTGGGAATATTTATAGTCGTGCAATCTAAAAATTTTAATTATGTTAGACGTGAAGTTATTCTTTATTTTTCATCAGTTTGCATAATATGCACTAAGCGCTGTATTCACTATACTGATTTTGTACTGTTTCCTTTCCTTTTCTTATTTCTTCTCTCGTCGAGTCTTTTTTTAATTTTTCTTTAAAATTCACTTTGATTATTTAGAGAGCATGTATTTTGTCTTTAATCATATAGTTTAACTGTTTCATACTCGCAAAAGATAAAAAATTGACGAATCATAAAATGTATGTGTCGTATGTGTCATAAAATATCTTTATAAATATGTGTAGGTGTGTAGATACACTTGATTGTATATATTCATGCAATAAAGTCGTTTCATACATTGTTAAACATCTATATACGCACGCTCGTTTTAGCAAGCTTAATGCGATGCGTTTTTCTGCGATAGGTCTCATGTAGGGCAATAGGGCCTGAACTATAATTCGCATGTGACGAGTTTTGCTTGCATGCTAATGATTGCCCATAGTTGTAATATTTGATACTTGTTACCTACAAGAAAGAGCCCTCGATAGAGTTTTGCATGACATGCATATGTTATTAAAAATTACTCATTGTAAATTAGCCTCAAATTAAATTTCCATACCTTATAATATGTCAATGCATTTATGTATCTAGAATAGAATATTTTATGGAACATGTCTTAGCATAGAGGACATTATGTTATCACTATAAACATAATTAAGGAAGATTAAGGAAGACATTTGTATTGTATTGTATTGTATTGAGATCTTTATCTCACACAAGAATATTTTAAGATATTTTTACATTTCAGCAAAAGTGACAAAAAAAGACAAATGTTGTTTTCATTACATTTTATAATATAAAGTTATCTTAAATGACGAGAAAGAAATAAAGAAATCTAATCGCGTAATCTCTATGAGAGAGTCGCTAAGGTGCGCACATGTGTGTGCATGCTAATGCGGGTGCGGGTGCGGATCTATTCTAACATTTTTTTTTTAATTTTGTATTAAATTATAAATTGTTCTTTCTCCAATACTGACCAATCTCATATCGCTGTTCTGCAGAAATGCAAAAGGTTCCGCGTGGGTGAGCGCTGCTGCGAGTTCGAGTGTCTTGACGACAAAGTCGATTGGAGTGGCCCGGATGTGTACGACGCTGCAGGATCGTCCAAAATCCAGGAGCAGAGTTCAGTCTTAAGCTTTTGTGGTCTGTTGATCGCATTATTGATAGTGCCTTAGTTACAATGAGACGAAATAAGATCGCAGTCATCGTCATAAACCTTTTCCTCCGTCGAATAATTCAAAGTATTTGTCTATTAAACACATCAGTCATTAGGTGAATCAGTGACGATAATGCTAACGATGACAGCGGAATTACGTACAAGAAATTCTCGAGGCGCAGGTTTGTTTCATATCGCAAATATTCAATGTTTTGACGAACACGCTTCTTTGTCGCGATTAGCTCGTCCATTCAATATCGAAACAACACGAGTTTAGTTAAATCGATGATTAATCAGATTACTTTTTAAATAATCGCGAAGAATTGAGGAAATGGAATATTTTATTTCGCAAATAATAAGTACCGATAAAATCTTTTGATAAAAAAGCAATATTTATAAGAACTTGTAGATTTGCTCAAGCTGGGAATACATGCGCGCGCGCGCGCGCCTGAATAAGTCTTTTATTTTCTCGATTTTCCATTTCCTTTAGAAGCGATTATTTTTTCATATTTTTCCACATTGTCAAATTCGATATAATAACAGACGGCACGCGAACTGGATATCGAGTTAAAACCTCGTTTGAAGGAAACCTCGTTTCAAGGAATGACGTGGGTGGCTCTTGATCTAATCCGAACACTCGGATGTCACTGTCATGTACGAGATATACTTGATCTCGTTTTAAATAAAATTCATCGTTTTATCGTACAGGGAGTATGTGCGGTAATGCATATAAAATCGTGTCGTTAAAAGATTGATTCAGTGCTCAATTCTCAGTCAGTTTTTTTGCCTTAACCGATTATCAATTCTTGGGATTGATCGTATCAGATTTATAACGGATGTCGCAATATTAACGTATGATACAAAAATTGACAAGAACATGGCATCTGATGACATCTGAGCTTTGCCTTTGCTAACATTCGTGGACGACTAAGAAGCAGACTGAAAGCAATTGAGACTTCGCGCACATACAAGTGTGTGCGTAGTGCATAGGAAATTTTTATTTTTCCAATGTTGTAGAACGATGTGTGATAACGAAACGTGTTATATTTGAGAGAGATTAGCGCGCAGAAATATGCAAGTCTCTTATCGTTAGAAAAAAGCAAAAGCGCACGTCAGGAAGCTCTACTGTCGAGCGTGTGATATTCTCTTTGTTAACAGAGAGACCCGTTTCAATCTTCAATTCAATCGATTTTACTGTTTGCTTCGCTTTACTTTGTATTCACCGGCAAACAAGCCGGTTTTTTTTCTTTTTGCCCGAGCGGGCAACTCGCCCCGATTTCTGTGAGTAAAATGTTTTAAAATGAATGAAATTAAGAGCTTGTGTGATAAACTAATATTTATCGATCTATTGTTCTATTTGTTTTTTTATTTCTTTTATTTCTTATCTATATATTTGTTGTGTCCCTTTCAATAATTAGATATTTACTTTATCTCGCTTATGCGAGGAGAGACGCTTTTCAATTACAATGAACAAATTATTTTGCGAATCACTTTATCAAATCATAATGACTTGTTTACGTAACAAGATTTTATTAAAATATCATCAAAAGAAAAAAGATTCGATTGTACTGGTTACGAAAATTTGTAGCGTAAACATATTAGGGGAAAAAGATCTACTCTCAAATATTTATGTACATGCATTAATTGATTGATACTCGGATGTGAAAAAACTTAATAGGATGGAAAAACATGGATTAATATGTTATAATTATTATCTGGGTTTTTGTGCATATTATTTCTTCGTTAAAAGTTTTATTATACACAGTTTTTCAATATTTTTGATTAATTTTATCCGTAAAGATTGATAAGAACAAATAATATCATTATTTAACTTGAACGAGTTAAAAATTTGAATGTATCTTGATGATATGTTTTTCTACCTGCTTCCATATTACAAAAAATTAATTATTCTCGTTCCAATTAATATTCAACCAGCAATTAACTATTATTCGCACGATGTTTTTACATTACAATTATAACAAGCATCTGAGTTTTTATAAAATAAGCAGCCAATTAATTATAATTGCTGTCGATCCACGCTATACCGCACCACTAATTATCAATCGATAAATAAGCTGAAGTATAAGTTATTGATATAAGAACACAACTAACGCAGTTTAATATCCCAAAATTATCAGGCAATTGCGATATTAATTGCGGTATTAATAATAAAAATCGGTGCGAATGCGGATAGAGACTGTAGAGTCTCTTTCCATATCACAGAATCATATTGATATTTTATTTTATGATAACGCTTAATATCGAAAACATGCGAGAATGCTTAAAAAAGGAATTGATTGATTTTAACATGAAACAAAACATGAAATGTTGGTATTCCAATATCTACATCAATGATAAAGCCGAGCAACATGGGGCCACACGAATTATAATAGTATAACATATACAAATGTATGTTTTGGTCTTTTCATGGCGAAATGTGAGAATGAAAATATGGTGCTATTATGTCATTTCTCACTAAGGAAAGTGACGTTATATATTATTACAGTTACGTTATAGTTATTTTCTAATATTGCGACACTGTATTTCGATATTTGCGCACGTATGCCTGTGATATATTTTTACAAGGGGCATTTAATTATCCTTGGATTGCTAATCGCTTTGCGAATCTTGAAGGCTTCGATTAGCGCTGTGGATGTCTCTGATTACGAAAATAGTCCCTTAAAATTTTTGGACGAAAGGGAGGAACAAAAGGAACAATCGCGCAATTATATAAGATAATAATCGCAATGGTATAATAATAATAATAATAATAACAACATATCGATATGATTAATGTTATATTTATATAATTGGTTAATTAAGCGGAAATTCTATTTATTGCGTGAGAAAGGTATTATTAGAAAAGAATTGTTATTCTTCTTAATAATATTTATCCATATTTTATAAATATTACGATATTTAATTATATCATCAATGTTAATAAGCACAAGCAGCTCTATCATTTATGACAGTGCGGAAAGGAATGACACTGTGAGTGATAGCGCGAATAAATCGTTATATGAGTTAATATCCGCTCTCTCCATAATATGAGATATTAGCATAAAAATCATCTACAATCAAGGGTGCATAAAAATCTCGCACGAGCCTAATACAGGTTTGTGTGTATATTAAAGCCTAATTTTTATACATACATTTCTTATTTTATAAATATCTTTCTGATCATTATGCGGAAACCATGGTTTCATGGGTTGTTTCGCAATCATTCGTATACGCCTTCGTTATTCCAGGAGATTCATTTATGTCATCACTATGTGTTTATGTCATATTGAAACGTTGAAAGCAATCTTTCAATCGCGTCAATTTAAGATATTAAACATCTCAATTTAGCCGTTCTCAATACCGAAAGCGATCTCATCATAAATCATGCTCACGTGTATATAACATATGCAATGTATGAGCTAAACTATGACAAATGATTTCGAAAGAATTCCTTCCACAAAAGAATTCGCATTCTTTCCAAAAAGAAAGAAAAAGAAAGAAGAAAATAGATATGACTAGATAAGGTACACGAGTTTTATTGTTTAAAAATTAACGCAGAATTTTACAAACGGCGCTATTGAAGCCACTAGAGCGTATGTGATGAAAAAGATATTTAAGATTAAATTGCTATAGCTTAAATAAGATAGATTTATTGATAGTACGCACGATATCTGGCTCGGACGTGACCCGATTTCTAATCTTGACTTGTCTTCAAAAGATTTTGCCAAGTATTTTTGTTAAAAAACTCAAGTATATATATATATATATATATATATATATATATATATATATATATATAATAAATAACTAA